TCCGAGAAGCTGGTTCTAAAATGTTCTCTAACAACGTTATAAGAACTTTCATCAATCATGAATAACGTTGTACAGACATTATAAGAACGTGGTTCTAAGAATGTTTTCTAACAACACTAAGAGAACTTTAATCAATCATAAATAACGTTCTTACCATGTTCCGAGAAGCTGGTTCTAAAATGTTCTCTAACAACGTTATAAGAACTTTCATCAATCATGAATAACGTTGTACAGACATTATAAGAACGTGGTCCTAAGAATGTTTTCCAACAACACTAAGAGAACTTTAATTAATCATAAATAACGTTGTTACCATGTTTCGAGAATGTGGTTCTAAAAATGTTCTCTATCAACATTATTAGAACTTTCATTAATCATGAATAACGTTGTAAAGACATTATAAGAACGTGGTTCTAAAAATGTTTTCTAACAACACTAAGAGAACTTTCATCAGTCATAAATAACGTTGTTACCAGGTTCCGAGAAAGGGGTTCTAAAAATGTTCTCTAACAACGTTATGACAACTTTCATCAATCATGAATAACGTTGTACAGACATTATAAGAATGTGGTTCTAAGAATGTTTTCTAACAACACGAAGAGAACTTTAATCAATCATAAATAACGTTGTTACCATGTTCCGAGAATCTGGTTCTAAATATGTTCTCTAACAACGTTATGAGAACTTTCATCAATCATGAATAACGTTGTAAACACATTATAAGAACATGGTTCTAAGAATGTTTTCTAGCAACACTAAGAGAACTTTCATCAGTCATAAATAACGTTGTTACCATGTTCCGAGAATCTGGTTCTAAAAATGTTCTATAACAACGTTATGAGAACTTTCATCAATCATGAATAACATTGTACAGACATTATAAGAACGTGGTCCTAAGAATGTTTTCCAACAACACTAAGAGAACTTTAATTAATCATAAATAACGTTGTTACCATGTTTCGAGAATGTGGTTCTAAAAATGTTCTCTATCAACATTATTAGAACTTTCATTAATCATGAATAACGTTGTAAAGACATTATAAGAACGTGGTTCCAAAAATGTTTTCTAACAACACTAAGAGAACTTTCATCAGTCATAAATAACGTTGTTACCAGGTTCCGAGAAAGGGGTTCTAAAAATGTTCTCTAACAACGTTATGACAACTTTCATCAATCATGAATAACGTTGTACAGACATTATAAGAATGTGGTTCTAAGAATGTTTTCTAACAACACGAAGAGAACTTTAATCAATCATAAATAACGTTGTTACCATGTTCCGAGAATCTGGTTCTAAATATGTTCTCTAACAACGTTATGAGAACTTTCATCAATCATGAATAACGTTGTAAACACATTATAAGAACATGGTTCTAAGAATGTTTTCTAGCAACACTAAGAGAACTTTCATCAGTCATAAATAACGTTGTTACCATGTTCCGAGAAAGGGGTTCTTAAAATGTTCTCTAACAACGTTATGAGAACTTTCATCAATCATGAATAAAGTTTTACAGACATTATAAGAACGTGGTTCTAAGAATGTTTTCTAACAACACTAAGAGAACTTTAATCTATCATAAATAATGTTGTTACCATGTTCCGAGAATGTGGTTCTAAAAATGTTGTCTATCAACATTATTAGAACTTTTGTCAATCATGAATAACGTTGTAAATACATTATAAGAACGTGGTTCTAAGAATGTTTTCTAACAACACTTAGAGAACTTTCATCAATCATAAATAACGTTGTGACCATGTTCCGAGAATCTGGTTCTAAAAATGTTCTCTAACAACGTTATGAGAACTTTCATCAATCATGAATAACGTTGTAAAGACATTATAAGAACATGGTTCTAAGAATGTTTTCTAGCAACACTAAGAGAACTTTCATCAGTCATAAATAACGTTGTTACCATGTTCCGAGAAAGGGGTTCTTAAAATGTTCTCTAACAACGTTATGAGAACTTTCATTAATCATGAATAACGTTTTACAGACATTATAAGAACGTGGTTCTAAGAATGTTTTCTAACAACACTTAGAGAAATTTCATCAATCATAAATAACGTTGTGACCGTGTTCCGAGAATCTGGTTCTAAAAATGTTCTCTAACAACGTTATGAGAACTTTCATCAATCATGAATAACGTTGAACAGACATTGTAAGAACGTGGTTCTAAGAATGTTTTCTAACAACACTAAGAGAACTTTAATCTATCATAAATAACGTTGTTACCATGTTCCGAAAATGTGGTTCTAAAAATGTTCTCTATCAACATTATTAGAACTTTCGTCAATCATGAATAACGTTGTACAGACATTATAAGAACGTGGTTCTAAGAATGTTTTCTAACAACACTAAGAGAACTTTAATCAATCATAAATAACGTTGTTACCATGTTCCGAGAATGTGGTTCTAAAAATGTTCTCTATCAACATTATTAGGACTTTCGTCAATCATGAATAATGTTGTAAATACATAATAAGAACGTGGTTCTAAGAATGTTTTCTAACAACACTAAGAGAACTTTCATCAATCATGAATAACGTTGTTACCATGTTCCGAGAATCTGGTTCTAAAAATGTTCTCTAACAACGTTATGAGAACTTTCATCAATCATGAATAACGTTGTACAGACATTATAAGAATGTGGTTCTAAGAATGTTTTCTAACAACACTAAGAGAACTTTAATCAATCATAAATAACGTTTTTACCATCTCCCGAGAATGTGGTTCTAAAAATGTTCTCTATCAACATTATTAGAACTTTCGTCAATCATGAATAACGTTGTAAAGACATTATAAGAACGTGGTTCTAAGAATGTTTTCTAACAACACTAAGAGAACTTGCATCAATCATAAATAATGTTGTTACCATGTTCCGAGAATCTGGTTCTAAAAATGTTCTCTATCAACATTATTAGAACTTTCGTCAATCATGAATAACGTTGTAAAGACATTATAAGAGCGTGGTTCTAAGAATGTTTTCTAACAACACTAAGAGAACTTTAATCAATCATAAATAACGTTTTACCATGTTCCGAGAATCTGGTTCTAAAAATGTTCTATAACAACGTTATGAGAACTTTCATCAATCATGAATAACATTGTACAGACATTATAAGAACGTGGTCCTAAGAATGTTTTCCAACAACACTAAGAGAACTTTAATTAATCATAAATAACGTTGTTACCATGTTTCGAGAATGTGGTTCTAAAAATGTTCTCTATCAACATTATTAGAACTTTCATTAATCATGAATAACGTTGTAAAGACATTATAAGAACGTGGTTCTAAAAATGTTTTCTAACAACACTAAGAGAACTTTCATCAGTCATAAATAACGTTGTTACCAGGTTCCGAGAATGTGGTTCTAAAATTGTTCTCTAACAACGTAATGACAACTTCCATCAATCATGAATAACGTTGTAAAGACATTATAAGAATGTGGTTCTGAAAATGTTTTCCAGCAACATTGTGAGAACTTTCATCTATCACAGATAATGTTGTGAAAACGTTCCGAGTATAAGGTTCTATGAATGTTTTCAAACAACATAATGAGAACTTTCATCAGTCATGAATAACGTTGTTAAGACGTTCCAATAATGTGGTTCAAAGAATGTTTTCTAACAAACATTGTTAGAACTTTCATCAACCATAAATAACGTTGTAAAGACGTTACAAGAACATGGTTCTAGGAATGTTTTCTTTCAGCATTTTGAGAACTTTGATCAATCACAAAAACATTATATACACGTTCAGAGAACATTGTTATAAAAACGTTTCCTATCACCGTTATGAGAACTTTCATCATGCAGAAATAATGTTGTTACAACGTTCTTATAACAATCTTCTAAGAACATTTTCTATCAACGTTACAGCAACATTAATAACGTTCAAAGAACATTTTGAAAACATTACTTTAGCAACGTTATGTACTAACATTAAAAAAACTTTTAAAGAATGTTAGCGAAAGTTATGGGAACGTTCCCTGTTAGCTGGGTAGGAGTTGTTTTTAAAAGGGTAATTTTAAATTCCTACTCTGCGTATTGTTCATTAGAAAGCGAAACATTTGTGCATCAGTCTCAATCTCCCTATAAGAAGGAACTTTCCCTTGGGGGTCATTAAAACCGCTGGCTGCATTATTGGTACCAGGTTTAAAACAAAAAGGCTCCATTGTGTCACACGTATTTCTACTGAAACAGAAATGAAAACTTCCAGTAGCCAGTGATATTCAGTTTGATCAACATCCCCATTATAAAATAACAAAACCCTTTATAACAATGACTCTGCTGACTCCCTTTTAGTCACACTGGTAGCAAGTGGGCTCTCCAGTTAGAGCACCAGCATCTTCAACTACCTCCAAATTCGTCCAAAGTCCAGGCATTCGTCTAGTTATTTTAGGGCTGTTATGTTTTCTGTGTGGTCTTGGCCTTTTATGATAAGTTTTTATTTATTTTTATAAATTGTTTTTATTCACTGTTTTTATTCACAGTTTTTATTTTCTCATTTCTTGTTTAAACTTTTAAAATGTTGTCAAGCACCTTGTGGCTTATGCCTGCGAAAGGTGCTATACAAATAAAGTTTAAGCACTTTCTTACTCCAAATGGCAGCAGGTTGTCCATGATGATAATAGTCAAAGTGCGTGACGCTGCTTACTGGAAACTACAAATGTCAGACCTCTGGAGAATAATTTTTTTTAATTTATTTAACCTTTATTTAACCAGGATAGAGAAAGCTGTGAAAGATTAAATTCCTTTATGTATCATTATTATTATTATTATTATTATTATTATTGTTGTTGTTGTTGTTACTATTAGAATGAATTACAAGACATAGATAGTTTTAAAAATTGTTTCATCTCTTTCTCATTTGTTCTTTTGTTCTTTCTTTTTAGCACATTCATGAGACCCCATAAAACACTTTGATATGCAAACCTTTTTTCATTTTCTAGCCAATAAAAAACACTTGTGTGTGTGTGTGTGTGTGTTTTTTTTTCAGATCCCGGCTCGCTGATTTCCAACACAACTGCCAGCCCTCCTCTGTTTCTGCCTCTGGCTGTGTGCGAGAGAGCAGAGCCATGTGCCTGAAGGCTTATACCGGACTCATAGGTGAGATGGAGGAAAACAACATTGAAACAGAAAGACGCTCACAGAGTTTATCAGTTTGTGTGTGCATTCATACAGGTAAAGACTAAATAGTCTTGTTTTTAAATGATCACCTGCTAAAAGCTCCTCTGAGTTTTGAGACACAGAAATTCTGATTTCAGCAACCCTGATAGTTGTGCAGATAATTTTAGTTCCTCCACTTTCTCCACACTCAAAGGGTAATTATATGGACCTGCAATTATAAATATTGAAAGCTTGAAAATTGCTGATATGAGATCCACGGGTTGTATTGTTTTTATACTCTCTTCCATCCATAGAGGTGGGGAAAACATGATCTGAGCTGAGAAAAAATGTAATTTTAAAAGTTTTTCAACATTTATTTTTTAGGGACCATAATGACTCCAAACTACGTGAGTAACAGCAGCACAGAGGTGTCCCAGTGGTGCACGTGTGACGGCAGTGGGAACGAATGGCAGGGCTGTCAGCGCATCCTGCACATGTTCAACAATAACATCTGTCTACGTGAGTAAAATGCATAATTGAACTATTTATGTAAAACTTATAAGAGCCACGTGGTTTCTGCAAAAAATGAATGGAAATGTTGGACATTTCAGGATATTTTAGTTCTTTTCAAATTTCAAAGTATGACCAAAATCAACTTTGATCATTTTGGTTTTGGTTTTTCTTTGAAGCCAGACTCTGCATGCTGGGCGTGGGACCTACAGCTTCTAGCTGATGCACAATCAGGGTGTTTTTATTTTATTTTATTTTTTGCAGCAAATGGGGCTTTTTGTCTTTATTAGAACCAAGTAGATTATAAAACAGAATGGCTGAACAAATAGTTAAAGAAGTCAACATCTATGTTCCTTTTATTTACATTAGGTGGGTGGGACTTAAAGATTATAGAAAAAAATGGAAGTGGAGCCGCAACCATTACTGCGAAGCAGTCTTTTGAAATCAAGCAGCAAGAAGGGGAAGTTGTTTGTTTTGTGAACATGACTAGGAAGGTTAGGAGGGCGTGTGCAGTCGTTGGCTGTTCCAGAAACAGCAGAAAACTCTAGATTGGAAGAAAATCTTCTACGGGATATGGGTCCGTGCAGGACTTGCTAGTCGTACCCTGCCTGTCAGCCACCTTTACGTTGTACAGGAGTGCTGCGGTGGTTTTTATGCCACATTGGCTGTCCAGTGTCCATGATGAATAAATGTCACTGTTAGCTTGCTAACTTCTGCGCACATAAGCTATATGTGCAGTGTTTAACGGTACAGTCTGTTATCTCCATATTAATCTTTCCTGTTTATCGCTCAAATAAATGATTAATTAATAAATCAATGTCGGTATTAATTTAAAGGGATACTAGGCAGTTATTATTTTTTACACCGTTTTCTTGAGCCAGTATGTGCTAAAATGACCTTTTACAGGGTAAATGAAGTTTTACTCTGACCCCCACCACCCCCTGTGGCCAGAGTACTGCATCTGCAACTTCAGAGTGTCGGTCTGGTTTGTTGGAGTTGAGCTGACATACCTGGCGCTGCAGTCTGCTTCAAGCATGTTTTAGATCATGACCACAGCTGATTTGTTCAATTTAATGGTGAATCAATCCTGTAGACACTAATGAAGGCTGGGGAGATGTTTCAGCAGATTATGGTTTTAAAAAGATGAACGCACAACAAGGAGAAACGTTTTGCTTTTGGTTCTACTAAATGGACAATAGGGGGTGCTAAAAGCAAGCCAAAACTGCCTACATCCCCTTTAATATACCATTATCAGTTACTGGAGGCCATTGTCTACACCCCTGGTCTAACATTCTCAGTCCAGGTATTCATGATGTCACTAGAGGGTCAGTTTACAGTGACAGAATAATGAATAAAACATTGACACGTGTCACCACTGCAATGGTGGTGCTGCTAGATGGCGACCTACACAAATTGTTTGCTGAATCGGTCTATACCAGGTCCAGCCTCTAGGGCAGTGAACCTCAATGGTGGTCTGAGGGCCACATCCGGCCCTCCAGACCTCTCCACCCTTGCCATTGTTTATGTTCTCCAAAGACAACTAAAACTTGCAATCAAAACAGTTAAGATGGAAAATAAAGCCATTTTAAATATTGATAATTCAAGATACAATAATACTTGAACTTTGTTTTATATGAGCTAGTCGAGGGTCCCTGTTCTAGGAGATGCTTTTAGATTTAGGCATCAACCTCTCGGTGTCGGTTAGTTAGCCATGTTTTCCCAAAGTTTTCAATGCAACTTTTCCAAGTAAACGTGTGCTTTTTGGGTGTACAGCTTCAGAATAAAGAACTAGTGACTTATTAATGTTTTCAAAAACAGATTCCCAGACCTGGATAGCCACTGGTGTACTGGTGTACTGACAACGGCTGGGTTCTCTTTCTGTAAATGCTATATGCTGAGATGCTGAGAGCAGGATTCCCTATATCAGGCATGTCCAATCCTGGTCCTTGAGAACCACCATCCTGCTTATTTCACGTTTCTTCCTAGGTTAATACTATGTTTCTGCAGAACTCGAGGACGTGCTGAACAGGCAATTCAGCCGCTGAATCAGGTATGATGAAGCAAGAACCAGGTGTGTGCAGGTTGGACACCACTGCTCTAAATTAGATTCAGCCCTTCCTTCTCCTTTAAGTCACATTAATGTGGCTTTGAATCTACGGCAACATGTTTATTAGTTTTGAGTGAAATCGTGATTGACAGATGTGCGTAAAGGACAGCGGTCTGAGCGGCCGCCTCACTGCCCATCGTGATGTTAACTACAAGTAGCTTGTATCTGACAGTCCCTCCTCTGTCAGCACAATTACAGAGGAAATGTTCTCTCCTAGCTGTCAAATGGGAGTATTATCTAAATTAACGTTGAGATGCGGATCTAACTGAGCATTTCACAATGCGTATTAATACTGATTTCAAATGAGGTGGGCCATAATTGACGGTTGAGAGGGCGAACCACTGAACCATAATGTTTTCTTATAAATAAATGAATAGCGAGAGACGTTCTCCCCAGTGTTTGGCTGCCTGCCAAATGGCAATGTTATTTCTGCAGAGTCGATGAATGCCTTCACCAAATCTGATAAACAGAATGTGGCTTCTTGTTGAGTTTTTGCCAAACCAGACAGAGCAGTAGAGAATCAGGAGGTCCTGCTCCGTATTTCACAGTACGGAAGTACAGAAGAAGCTCATTTTACCCAGAGTGTCTCCATTAGCTATTGTTTAGTCTGAGCTCAAAAGAATAGACGGCGGACAGAAAGGTTGTCCTAATTGGAAATAAGATTCCAAATTGAGTGCGACTTCATTAACAATCAAGCTGTACATGAGTTTCTCTCTGCACTCGCATTGTTCTCCAGAATAATGTTGAAGCTGAGATTAGTTGTGATTGCGCACCAATGCAAACTGAAGATAATTAAATACAATGAGAGCACAGCTGGATGGGTTGTTCCCGCCGAGCACTGTGGCTTTGAGGAAAGAAAGGATTAGAATATTCTGGGGATTACAGGAGAAGAGGAGTCACCTAAAAGTTTTTGCTTTAAACCCTGAACCGGCCGTTTCCTCCTTTAAGTTAGCTATTGTTTGTGCTGATGAATTGCTGCAGTGCACAAAGATAAGTTCAATACTTTAGCTCTTTAGAGCTCTTAACGCAGGAGTGTTTATAATTATGTTTATTTATTTATCAGACGCTTTTATCCAACGCTACATAAATTTCTAACCTATAGGGCATGTTGTGAACTGTGGGGGAAACCAGAGTACCCGGAGGAAACCCACGCATGCATGGGGAGAACATGCAACTCCACGCAGAAAGGCCGCAGCCGAGTTTTTAACCTGCGACCTTCGTGCTGTGAGGCAACAGTGCTAACCACTGCGTCACCATGCAGCCCAGTAGGAACCCTGGTCCTCGAGGGCAGGTATCCTGTATGTCTTTGCTCCAACACTTCTGATTCAGTGGTTGATTCACCTGTTCTGCAGCTCATCAAGCTCTGCAGAAGCTTGTTAATCACCTGCTGATTGAAATCAGGTCTGATGACACAGGGTTGAAACTAAAATATGCTGGATAGCGGCCCTTGATGGACCAGGGTTCCCCACCCCGTCTTAAAGCAACACTAAAGAGTTTTAACACTTTAAGCTATTGGTTTCAAACTGGTTCCGATGGTTCTGGACGGACAGACTGTAGCCCACCAGAAACTGGGCGAAACAACTTTGGTGGTCTGGGTGGGCACTGGGAGGTCTCTACGTGCCTAATGGCTTTACTGTGTCCTGATAGCCTATTTAGGGCTAGCAGTTAGCTTGTTCAGCTTGCTGCCTGTCGATATAAAACACAAGAGGATTTAACTTTTTGTTGCATCGTGGTGGAGAGTGGAAACAAAAGTAATGTTCTCTCAAGGCAAGGCAAAGCAAAGCGCTAAACCCAGAGTGAACATCGGTGCGGTATAAACTCGTTGGTTTCAGTTTCAAACCATCTAAAAATGTAGCAAACAAAGTCCTACTTTCTTCTCTTTGTTTCTGAACACCCTGTGTGACAACGTCCTTATTGGCAAAATCTGCGGCAATGTTGTTTACGACAACCAAAATCCCACTTTTAACCAGCAGGGGGAGAAGCAGGAAACGCATTACGGGTTTTTCTTTTTTCAAGTAGATTATGTGTGTGAATTTTATGCATTTATTTATTATGGTGACCTCATCATGCTTATAGTGATGCAGTCCATCCAAGATGGACGTCCTACGATGAAGCATTAATCATCGGTTGTGCTTGTGAAGCACTGTGTGTTTAATTGTTGTTGTTTCCACATTTAATCTTTCATTGATGGAAAACCTACCCTCTTTCTTTGTGAAGACAACAGTCCTCTATTCCTTGTTTTTTCCCCCTTAAGGCGAAAACCACCACCTCTTAATTCCCACCACCTGTGTGTCAAACATGCAGCTCTTTTAGAATCAGATGCATGAATTTAAACTAAAATGGGCAAGCTGTCCTCTAAATAAGTGAAAAACACCTCATTTAAATGTAGGCAGACTGCACCACTTGCAAAAGCTTCTGAGAAATAGACAGACACTGAACTCTAAATTGCACTTTCAGAAACTGTACAGTCCTTCGTTTGCCTCCTAATATGATAATAAAATAGGCTCTTACCACCTGCAGTATTCAGACTCTCCATTAGAGGGCAGAATACACGTACAGGATTCAATACAGCAGTTTTTGGGGGAATGTACTAAATCTGAAAATGAGGTAGAGCACCTAAAAATATTTCTTTTTTCTGCAGTATACTAGTGAAGAGCAAACACTGATTTAAAGTGAGAAAACACATTAAATAAATATAGTTAAAAACATCTAAAGTCCAAATAAAAATTTTAGAATTTTAGAATAAATAAATACATTTTAAGGGAGTAAAAGGGAAAAGGAGATTTACACCTTTCAGCATGTGCATTTCCTGCTTTTTCTAGCAGTGATTTTGCTAATTCTGTTGAAGGAAATTCACTGTTTAATGAGAGACAGCTGGTGAAAATGATATGTAAATAAATAAGAATGCATGTAGACCTACATAATTAAGCAAAACTGAAACACTAATATAAAGTATATATATTATATTTTATTCTCCCTTTGAATCTGGAAGGGTGGGACCCCAGCTCCGGCTATGCACGAGCCCCCAGGGGGCCCAACTTGATATTTTTTCATGGGGCCCAAAATCTCTGGCAGCCCCCCTGCTCATGCCAGTAAAAGGAGAAAATGTCTGCAGCTGGGAGTAAAAGCAGTAGATGTGACGATCCAGGAAAAACATCTCAGTCCAGAAAAGTGCAGATCTAGGAACAGCTAAGATACTGCAGAACCCTCAAACTCCCAGGCCTCTGGTAGAGGACCCGAGCTTGGAAGGATGAGACCACCCACAGAGAGTGAGATAAAGAGAGAAAAAAAATATATGTGTGTTCATGTATGTAGATATGTTTTTATCTACAGACACCACACTAAATATTAACACATCATCACCCCTCTCACCCTCTGAAACAGAAACAGAGACGAGATGGAAAACATATTGGTTGTTTCACTTATCGGACCTAAATGATTAACATCAGCCAATACCGATATTGTTGCAGATTAGCATGCAACCATTAGAGTGTATAAAATAACAATATGTGTGGCCCAGGTGGAAGTCTCTATTGTGGTTATTTGACATTATTTGTATTTGTTCAACTTTATTTTATTTCATGTCTGTTGTACTTTCTGTTCTAATATCATAATTTAAATGCGAGATCTTTATATTAGACTCATGCTTGTATTGTAGCTCAAATATTAATAACATGAACCAATAAGGAGCAAAGTTTTGATGAAAGTTCAAACTTTTTCTTATGTTTAAGAATGTAATTTTGTTATTAATTATCCATGAACGCTGCAGAGCAGCTTCGGCTAGAAGACACTGATAATGTTTTAGTGATGATTGAAAGATGAATAAAGATGTGAAACTAATGAAGTCATCTCCTGCTGGTTTTGTTTCAGGCAATGCCATCAGCTCCATGGGGGTCTCCGCCCCTCCTCCAGTGGATCACACTCCGGAGCCGGTTTCCCAGCCCTCCCCGCACGATCACCAGGAGCGGGTCCACGTCAGCGCCAACACGCTCCCGGAATTCAACAGTGTAAGGACTCTCTCCTCCCACTCCGTCCCACTGTATGCTGGTGTCGTAGACCGCGTATTGGGTCTTAACACTTACTGTAATGGTGAAACAAGCCACAGAGTTTCCTGTATAATCTCAGATTATTCCTGTTTCCTTCCCTCTGTTATCTCCACCTCTCAGCGTGGCTGAGGATTAGCTGAAGGTGTTTGAAGTATTAAACTCAATCTTTACTGTTAATATTCATGTGAGTGCACTTATCGCTTCCATATTTACCATTGTAATCCTACTATATTCCAAAAATCCCTTTTCCTTTTATCTCTGGATGCCCAGATACACGGTTCATCGTTTCTGAGTTTGTTCTATGCACTTTCATATAAATTAATTCAGTTAAAAATGTGTAGGGAATGCAATAAATCCACTGCAGTGATGTAAATTACACCCGCATCATTTTTATAACTGGAAATTAAAAACTCAGTTAATGAAAATGCTTTGCAGCACTTTAATAGGAAAATCTCTCCTGTGTTGTAGTTTCATTTTAAGGCCATTTTGAGTAAAAATCATCAAACCAAGGCCGATTCCCACTTTTGCAGTTTTAAATAGTTCTTCTTCCTTCAGCCATTCTCCACCTCCTCACCTCACATCATGAAGTTTGTCCTTGTATTGTTTTTTATTCTTCCTCTCAAAAAAGACAGATAAACAAAAACAGCTCATACCTCCGTGCCCTTCAGCCACATCAGTTTAATCTATGCTAATTTTTCTTTCACTGTTGAAATTTCTGTACAAAATTAAGAAAGATTTGGAAAGCGTGAAATCTAAAGAACAAACCCTTGAAGTTTGCAGATAAACTGTCTTTTACAAGTTATTTTTTAACTGCAATCGGTAACTCTGAGTTTCACGTGCAGGCTGAACATGAAGAGTCTTCGACCCCTATTTCCTTCATTGGCTACTGACAGAAGATAGACGGGAAAGATCTACGTCACACTGAAAATTAGCATTCGTGGTCTCACCCATCTTGGCTCACGACATGAAAGGCTGATGTCGGTTTAGCATTCAGGAGAGAGCAGAGCATTTATCTGCTTGTAGAAGCTAACTGTTAGCATTAGCAACTCCACCACATGGCAGAACTCCTTCAGCTTGTGTTATGTGTGGCGATAAAACATCAGCTTTGCAGAGCGAACATAGGCAGTGGAAGAGTTGCGTTGATCTTAGCCAATCAGAGGCGAGATGTCCGAATATCATAAACAACAATAAGTAAGACTCCAAATCTCGCTGTTTTCTGCCCTTCTCTCCTCCGGTACACGTATACTTCCTGAAACAGGAGCACGAGTGTTTTTTTTCCTCCAGATAACGACTCACAAGGCATTTGTTTTTACTAGAGACTACAGCAGATTTAAACATAAATTATATAAATAAAGGGATAGGTTGGGATTTTTCTCACACACGTCCAAAGCAACTGGCTTGATATGTGACACCAAACTGGATTTTTTATAATCCAGGTTAGTTTATTAAAGCCACATGTATGAAGCCTGCATGCACCTGGTAATGTTTTAAGCTGAGAGGAACAAACTTTGAGACGTTATTAGGTGGTGGGGTGTTCTGGATTGAAGTTTACTTCCTGCTTAATTCATATCAGCCAAATGCATTTTAACAGTTTTGCCTTAGACTTGATCAAGATACAACTATTTAGTTAGATTTTCTGCTTGTAAACCATCTTTTATAACACAAATCGTGTTTTTAGTTGGAACTGTTATTTTGCTACTTATCCACATCTTCTTGTCAAATGCTTAACCCCTTAACATTCCTCCGTCCCACCCATGGGATTTGACCAACATCCTGTTCTACTCTTGAGTACAACTGCAACAGTGTTGTGTAAACATACAAAAACTATACATCATTGGAAAGCTAAGAATCTTGACATTGCAATGAGGTATGCTAATCAAGCACACAACAATAGCTGTAGACACAATAAACACTTTTGTCCAGCCCCTTGCAAATGCAAAATTGGTTTAATCCAAAAAATTTTATCCAAAAGGGTCCAATAAAAGTACTCCAGTAAAATAGTTAGTCCACAACAAGTCTCATGTCCACAGTCCAAAATAATGTGCTGCTGAATGTGTCCCAATATTACTTCCAATACATCAGCTTTTCATCATGTTTTTTTCATAAAAGCCGTTAGCTTCCCCGTGTTCACTTCAAACATTTACACAACTAAACTTCATGGCTAAGCTTTTGATTGACATCTTACTTGATCCAATAGGTGATGGTTCACTTTCTCTGCTAAGGTAAACTCTTTTACTATTGGCCATTGACTATAAAGTCCCTCCCTCTATTGAGATGTTTGTAGCTTGACCCCATCACAAAGGAGTTTGTTGGTGAGTGAAGCATCAAATAGCCAATTAAATTCTGAAAAGAATGATATCTAACATGCGGGGGTCTGGTCTACCAAACAAAAGCTAAGTGTGAGCGTAAACGAACTTTCTCACAGCAACAGTTTGGAAAGTTACGCATCACTATGTGATCGCTGCACACATCAGTGTGTGCCTCCTTTACTCTTTGAAAGTAATACTGAGACTGGATCTGGATGTAGGATAGGACAGTCCCATTTGTAATCTTTTGTTAGAGCCCAAGATTATGATTTTATGTTGAAGCTTTCAAAAATAACAGACTTTTTTCCTAAGTGTGGATACCGCAATGGTCTCCAAAAGGCACACTTTTAGCACGTGAAACATCCAGAAAGGGTCTATTTTTACCTATATATTGACCACATAGTGACCGGTCACCTACAGACATAATTCCACTATCTAGGTGGAGTTGCTACTCTAGCTTCTAACACCCAGAAGATTCTGCAGTGCTTGTTGACAGTCCATGAGGACAAGATTGTCAAACTTATCTCAGACTGCTGGATTCCACACTCTGAATGAAAAGTGAACTTTTACAACTCATAAGTTAAGTGATCATAAAGAATCATATGGTTGAATGAACCAGATGTTAAATGAAATGTTTGAATAATCTATGCCTAATTCAGTTAAGTTGAAATGAATATTATTATTACAATGATCCATTTATGTTATGATCAGTAATGTTTGATTTAACTCAATCATTAGCTACACTCATACACAATGTTCATAAGATATAAATTATGGTTAAGGTCACATCTCACATAAAGTTTAATGATTCTTTATCCACAGAACAAGAACATCTTGTATCTGGAAGGTCTGGTTTTCTGAGGGATGTTTGGTAACGCCAACAAACATGTCAAATTCTGATTCGCAGAAATGATAAACTCTAGATTATTAAAACTAGAGGGACTGCCCGAGTTACTCAGATTCGAGCGGAACTCCGAAGTGGCCAATTTGGAACCAGCCTCTTTTGAAATATCTCTTTGACATCCAGTCAAAACATATTTGCACGCTGCAAGCTGACACAGATATACGACTCCTTAAGAGTCTGTCCGTTTGAGACGCAAAACAAGTCCACCTGTTTGTTGTGACCTGGAGACATCTCTGAACTGACCTGGTCGCATTGCGGTTAATCTACAAACTTCGATGCCTTGGGGTCACCCGGCCCCCCCAATATCTCAGATCCAAAAGAGGGTCTCCATCAGGGTACGTAGACACAACAAGATTGCGTCTGATGCCGTTCTATAAATAATCAACTCTCTAGTTTATAGCAGACAAAAAATTCTTTTACACCCAGAACTCAGTTTCTTCCAGATACAAAGGTTTTGATAAACATCTACATCACATTCCATCACATATCATTATTCATAGCTTGTCATGTATTCTAATTAGTCCAGGAAATAAAGTTTAATTTTAATTATATACTTGACTCTGTCTGAATTAATACGAATTGTGTTATGGTCCCTGAATAAGCAAAGAATCCCAATTTGTCTGGTTAAACATTCAAAAATCAATCAGCTTGATATTCTATATTTATACAGAATCATCACATCTTATTGGTCATAATGAAACCCTCCAATTCTCTACAGTTGACTCTATGACAGTATTACTTACATAAATTTTCACTGTTGTGGGAAAACCTCTGAGTGTTTATTTTAAAAAGACACCTCAACCATGCCTCTAGTCCAAATGGGTCAAGAACAGCTTTGCTTCAAATTCGGGTACGCTTTTATTAAAGCCTCTGTGGCTGAAATGGCCAGAATGTTAAGGGGTTAAAGGAACATTTGCACGAGACAGTTTGAGTTTGTTCAGGTCTAACTGTGCTTTTTTGCCTCTGACTGATGGTCAACAACAGCTGCTACTTTTATGTGTGGATTATAACATGACCTCACAACAGAGGCTAATCTCATGGGAATGCCAGCTAGTCCAACATTTCATCTAACAGAACTTTCCCTTTTAAAATCCTAGATAAGAATAATATTAATCAGCATAACCTGGAAGGTAAGACTGATATTTGGATGCACAAAAGCTTTATCTTTTTCCATTACCAGAGCACAAACACCTGAACCTGATGTTTGTTGTAGCTTCCTGCTGGAAATGAAAACTTTTGTGCTGCTGATGTGTGCAGAAGACGAGCTGCAGAAAGTATATTGGATGCATTAAATCCCTTGCTAAGATAATGGTTTTTCAGGGTATGTGGACAAAGAAATCTTGTTTCACATCCTGTGGGTTATGAAAGGGACATTTCAGAAATTTTAGTGGTTTTCAGGTATAAAGAATTGATAAGTTGTAGATAGAACAAAAGGAAGACAAGGTTTCAATATATATATATATATATATATATATATATATATATATATATATATATATATATATATATATATATATATATATTAAAACCTATGATTAACACAATCTCTGGATGACTAACAAGTGAAAAGGAGTAGAGGTTTGCTTAGTACATGAAATAAATCAAATTAAATGAATAAATTAACTATTTAAGAAGAAGAACAGCTGCCACTGAACTGTTTTAAATGAGAAAAGTAATTGTAAATCTAAACTAAATGAAAATCATGGAAAACTGGTTAAACAGAAATACTTAAAAAACAGAAAATACTTAAA